GCGTGCTCCGGACCCGCCGCGATGTGGCTCGCGGCCTATTCGGGATGAGGCCCACTGCCGCCAGCGTGCCGCTGGTGGGCCCTCCCGGTGACGGGAGCGTCGTCTTGTCGCTCCACCAACCCCAACGGTCGCCCCGTTCCCCGGTCTCACTCCCCAAGGACTGCTTCCGCCCTCCTTCCAACATCGCGGAGTTTGTATCCTATAGCCAGGAGGAGGGGGATGACTCGATGTCCATCTCGGTCTCGGAAAGGGAGGATTGGGCGGGATCGGAGTCCGATCAGCCGGACAGCATGGGGCCCCCAGACCTCCAGGAGGAGCTCATGAGGGTTCTGTCAAGGGCTGACTGTATATATTAGGGATGTCAGCGATTAATCGACGGTCGATTAATTGTCGATGAGAGATGCAATCGATTAAAGCTATCAATGGTCGATTAAGCAGTTTAACTTTGGGCTGTGTGAGGCTCATGTGCAAAACACGTGAACACTCACATGGCTGTGAGTAACGGTGACGGGGCTAGATCTGTTGCGAAAATAATTCACTAACTTACAAATTACGCTTTTAATGTGATCCAAACTTTAAAAGTACATTAAAACAGAAACAATACAAAGTTATTTTGTATTAAAATGTAATAACTAAGTCATGTTTAATTATAATTTCCCCAGATAATTGTTTCATATCGGACTTTGCGCTTTGACAGGGCTGCGGGATATTAGCAAGACAGATATATATAATTAATTCCTACAACTTGTTAATTCATTCCTGCGACTTATTCATTTGTGCCCACTGTCCATATTTCATTAATTTTTTCCCTAGAAAACCCATGATTTAACTAAAATGAGTGAACAAATTAAGTCATAGAACAAATTCTTAATTCATGGCCACGAAATCTTTCATTTACCCCCGCATGCTTGCCACAGTAAGAGATGCGAAAACAGTGATTAAAAGTGCACGACAATAAAATAAACCTGCAAAATTAGAGGGTGAGACAGTGAGGATTTGGGAAAAGAAACCATAAATATGATTCAAGTCGTGAAAATTCGTGACCAACTGGCAAAACAGAACACAAAGGCTTTAAGGCTTTAAATGTATTTTTAAATGTATTTTTACAGATCGGGCTCGGGTTGGACTCGGGCTCATTTAGCTTCTCTCCTTTTATTGTGTCCATATCCGCGCAGAGCACACATAGGCTACTGTATTAAATATTGTTGTATTGATTATATTATAAATAATTGACATAGCCTACGCATAAAGTCCTTAAATTACACTGAGCTCCCTCACTGTCTGGTCAGCTCTTCAAACCTGCTGCAGCGGCAGCTTTTCCCGGTTCAGATATCAGGGCTGTTATTGGTCCGTTTACACGATCGGATATCTTTATTGGACAGAGAAGGGCCGTCAAATGTTTGAATATCAATTCAAATTGTGGGCATACTCAGTAACGAACTATGATTTAAAAGTAACGAAGTAGATTATTTTGCTTAATTTGT